CAAGAGAATCTTCCGATAGACGGGTTGTCTGTCGGAAGCCCGAGCACGTCTGCTACGCATGTGGCGAGTACAGACTGCCCCCACCTGACGGACTCAGAGTGGGAGGCGCTCCGACGACTGTCAACAGTCATTGGAGAGGCAGCCGTAGCGTCAATGCTGCGCACGCTATCGCCGACAGAGCAACATGGTGTTGCTCTGGGGTTCATCATGAGAGAGCAACACGAGGTTGCTGCCGTGAATACAGTGTCACCCGGGGTGACACTGCGGAATGAGTATCTGAAGTTACACGTGAGTAACTACGAAGGCAAAGAAGGTGAGACCCTTCTTCAAGTTTGAGCTCCTTCTTGAAGGACTCGTACGTGCTGAAGCAAGTAGGATCGGTGAGTCGGCGCCCGTAGGCCCAACTCCTTGCGCGTCCGCCAAGACGAGACATGGCGAAGGCGACTTTCGCCAACGGGTCGACGAGACGTCGGGCCATTACGGCAGTGTCAAGTTCGACAAGCCAGTGGAGAAGGGTCGCTCCTTCTCTGCCCATGCAGCTACTGACACGTAACTTCAGGTACTCATTCCGCGGTGTCTCCCCTGGAGACACTGGCTTCGCGGCAGCAACCTCGTGTTGCTCTCTCATGATGAACCCCAGAGCAACACCATGTTGCTCTGTCGGTGATAGCGTGCGCAGCATTGACGCTACGGCTGCCTCTCCAATGACTGTTGACAGTCGTCGGAGCGCCTCCCACACTGAGTCCGTCAGGTGGGGGCAGTCTGTACTCGCCACATGCGTAGCAGACGTGCTCGGGCTTCCGACAGACAACCCGTCTATCGGAAGATTCTCTTGCCCGTGTTCGTAACTCATACGAACAAGGTAGTCGGTCGTTGGACGGACTACAAAGTGCTACCAGGTGTAGTGGGCCATGTGTAGTGGGCCTAGGGCTCACTAGTTAGCTTACACGTGTGCGCACGAGTAGGTGGAAGCGTAGGTGTTCCTAGGTTGTATTGCTTACACACGATGCGTGTGTACGGTAAGACAAGATAGGAGCAAGATAGCGTAAAATGAGAACTGTATTGTTTCCCTTAAAGCGTTTCCTTCCTAAACTGTTTATCAAATATCTAAGGGACTGTCAGCGGGTGGCTGACAGTGATTCACATCGCTGATTGGTAGAGGTGTGGCGCACTCTACCAATAAGATCCCTTCAAATGCAGTCTTGGTGTGTTCACACACCAAGACGGGAAACCTCTAACTCTAACCGATTAGCGTTACGGTTAGAGTTTCGTGTAACCCCGTTACAGTCGTCGTCCTTGTTGTACGAGGTGAAGGCCGCGTATGCGCATGACACAGACGCGAAGCATCTGATCGAGTTTCTCTCAGCTACTTCCGACAAAGCACGTCGGAAGTTGGCCCCTCGTCTACGAGCGAGAGTACACCTGTATCGTGTGCACGACGGTCTACTGTTTTACAGCGCTGTAGACGACAATGTGTTCCACGTTGTCGTGCTGAATGATCCTAACCTGCGCAGCAGGATCATGTACGAGTATCATGATGTCCCCACGGCAGGACATCCGGGACGTGAGAAGCCGTATTCTCGTCTCACGAGAGACTTCTACTGGAACCACCGGTACAAGTGGGTGCCCAAGTACGTACGTACTTGCGATGTTTGCCAGCGAGTGAAACCTGCACCTCACTCGCAGGCTCCTATGCAACCACTGCTGACTCCGTCGGAGTGTTGGGAGTCCGTTTCGATGGACTTCGTGTTTGGTCTTCCGCGCGATTCCAGGCGGAAGACTGGTATTGTGGTCTTTGTGGACCGCTTCAGCAAGATGGTGCATCTCGCTGCTGTCGCAGCGGAGGTGACCTCCGTACAGACGGCAAGTCTGTTCGTCGACATGGTGTTCAAGCACCATGGCATGCCCAGCGACTTTGTGTCGGACCGTGATCCGCGCTTCACGGCGCGTTTCTGGCAATAAGTGTTCGCATTTCTAGGAACGCAGTTCTCCATGTCGACTGCGAATCATCCACAGACGGACGGGCAAACTGAGCTCGTGAACCGCGTGCTCGTGGACTTGCTGAAGAGCTACGCCCAGTCGTTCCACAACTGGAGCGATTACTTGCCGATGGCCAAGTTCGCCATCAACAACGCGGTACATGCCTCGACAGGGCATATACCGTTCTTCGTGAACGCCACGCCTTCCGAGCACGCTCGGGGCGGTGGCTTCCTCCTGAAGTGGGGGAGGATCTACGGTTGCGCTCGAACAACCGCAGAAAACAGCTGATACGGATCTATCAGCTGCGATGACACGTGCGAGAGCGAGACAAAGCGACTTGTCAGTGCCGGGCGCTGACACTGTGAAGAACAACGAGCAGGCGACACCTGCTTCGTCCAAGGGCACCGCGAAGACTCACGCACAGGCCGAGCCTGTTGCACGCACAAGTGATGTATCGATGCTGGGCATCCATACTGAGAAGCTTCACACACAGGATGGGCCTGCTGCGATCACATACGAAGTGTCAGTGCCGGGCGCTGACACCACAAAGAGCCACGCACAGTCTGGGACTGATGCGAACACAAGTGGCGGGTCTGTGCAGCGCACAGACACGGACAATGTCAATGAGCTGGACGCGGGATTCAGCTCTCAAGCAATGGACTTTGTCCAGGAACGACAAGCTGTCATTCGGTTTGTACAAGATGTGATTGCAGCTTCTGTGGATAGGCAGAAGCTGAACGCAGACAATGTGGGCAGGGGCAACATAAGTGAATTCAAAGTTGGTTCGTTGGTTTTGTTAGCTACTCAAAACCTGCCTACACATGCGGTTTCCGGTTTTGGAACAAGCAAGCTTGCTCCGCGCTTCATCGGCCGTTCACGGTGGCTGAACGACACGGCAGTGCATACACGTTGGAACTACCTTCCGACATGAGACTCCACCCAACGTTCTACTTTGGACGCTTGAAAGCTTACGTGCGGCCCGAGTCATCTAGCCGTGATGACTCGCCGACGACGAAGCGCGGCGCGACTTCAGCTTTTCGTCAAGCCTCTTCACCTTCTCCTGAAGAAGACGAACTTGCTCTGACATCTCAACACGAATGTTTGAGGTGGTCTGAGCGGCTTCGACACGTAAGCCTTTGCAACTTCAGCTGCAGCGTCAGATCGACGATCTGAGCAGCCTGAAGGTTCTCAAGAGCCTCCACACGAGCGTGGAGCGGCTGAAGACTGTGGTCAACCTGGGGTTGACCATATGATGGGCGTCTACCACCACCGACAGAAACATAACTCTGTCCGCGGTACGATCCACCACGAGGTGGATCGGATTGTTGACCATAACAGTCCGAAGACGAACCGAGGTCCGGCTCGTTTGCGTATTCGTTGGAGACAATCGGCTCTCCTTCGAGATACGTGGCTTCCCCGTAACGTCCTGATGACGGATGTTCCGAAATGGTGAGGGAGTACGAAGCCCACAAATGAACGGGAGGCGTAACACTGCGGAGCGCAGTGATTCGCGAAGTGTTTTACTCAGGTACAACAATAGGATGCTGACGCGTGCAAGCGAGCTTAGCACGTAGCTCCTTAACAATTGCAGGTACACGGTGGGTCGTGTACCCGGTAGTGTCTCTCTCGCTGATGTGGGGAGCACCAGGAGGACAGTGCGAGCAAGACACATCCACAGCACAGGCACTGCACAAGGAATACAAGGAATACCCGCGTTCACCGAACCTTCGTGAACGCAATGGACGACAGAAGCAACGGAGTCTTCATGAAGCGCTCGCGAGCTGAAGCCACTCGATCGTGATAAGCTGTCGAGTCTTTGGTGAAGTTTTCAACACATGGATTCCAGCTTTGACAGCGTGCCTGCCACTCGGGCACTCTGCTTCGCCCCGAAGTCTTCTTCGAGCTCCAGTACCGGAGCTCGTGGAAAAGTGAGATATAATAATCTCGCCTTTGATTCGTCACCAGGTCAAAACTCTTTGACTCAGCTTCAGCGTCGTCGATAATTCTGCTGTCGACGTACAATGGTATCACGTTCGGAGGAACCGTGCGCCCGTACCATGCTGAAATAACGCTTTCAGACGGCATCCACGGATCGCGCACTGAGTCGTCAGTGCGCGGGGCATCTCGTTGCTCCGACGAAACAACAGACGGATCCGGCGTAATAGCTGGAGCATCGGAGACGATGGCAGGTTCTTCCAGTGTGGAAGGCACTGCATCACGTACGCTTCGCTGACGCTTCCAAGATGAAGCGTCCGATTCATCTTCACGGGCGCGGCGAGTCCCAGCCGCAGACTTGGAGTCACTTGGCTGGGAAGACGAGGTACCCTCAAGCTCCCCCTCCTCGTAGTCCACGGGGATACCACCGTCGGTCGAGAGGACCGACGAACCATCGAAGACAGTCTTAGGACTGGCTGTCTTTGCGGCCCCAGCGCGCTTCTTCTCCTGAATCTTGAAGTACTTGTCGACAGAGAAGTTCTTCTCTGTCGTGCCACTTAGGGGTGTCGGCGTTGCCGCTGACACAGGTGCGGATGCAGGCATCGACGCAGAGGTCGGTGCGGACGCTGGATCAGACGCAGGTGTCGATACTAAGGTCGACGCGGACTCTGGCGAAGACGCTGGCGTTTGCAGAGGCGCGCTCATTTCGCAATGGGCGCGGGCCGGAGGCTTGATCGACTCGTCAAGGCTTGGATTGACGTGTTGTGACCAGCACGTCAAATCTTAACGGGGGGGGGGTGTAACGGGGTTACACGAAACTCTAACCGTAACGCTAATCGGTTAGAGTTAGAGGTTTCCCGTCTTGGTGTGTGAACACTTTATCCCCCAAGAAGATACCCATGTGTCGATCAGCGTGCTGGAAGGTAACATCAGTGGCATATCGCACGCAAGAAATTTTTTAAAAATGTTGCGTCGTGTTGGGAATTCACGATTGTACCTCTCCCGCCACTCACAACAATTCGTTAACCTCGCAAAGAGCGAACGACGAGCGGGAAGGAATCTACTCGATAGTCCTTGACTCGATCCCCTTCCGAGCTCCACTTGACTCTGCGCTGGTAAGGTCGTAGGTCGACCAAATCTGACGCCCTTGGCACGAGCTCTCCAAGTCGTCCTCTCCTCTTCCTTGAACTTGACCCTGCCTGCCCTTGAGTGGTGGAAGGTGCTTGACTTTTCAGCCAGACGCAGGGGTGCTGGG